AAAATTGACCTTATCTATATATAATATGTATATATATATATATATATATATATATAAAAACACCCAGCACGCCCCTGCGGGCGGTTTATCCTTCAAGCTCGGGTCCTCTACCAGAGGCCTGGGAGCTTGAGGGTCCTGCGCAGTATCTTAGCTGTTCCCAGGACTGCGCTCTTCTGGACAGAGATCTCCGATGTTGTTCCCGGGATCTGCTGGAGCCACTCGCCTAGCTTGGGAGTCACCGCACCTAGTGCTCCGATTACCACGGGGACCACCGTTACCTTCACCCTCCACATCCTCTCGAGCTCTTCTCTGAGCCCTTGGTATTTCTCCAGCTTCTCGTGTTCCTTCTTCCTGATATTGCTGTCATTCGGAACCGCTACATCGATCACTACGGCCGTCTTCTTCTGTTTGTCTACCACCACTATGTCCGGTTGGTTAGCCACCACCATTTTGTCCGTCTGTATCTGGAAGTCCCACAGGATCTTAGCTCGGTCATTCTCCACCACCCTTGGGGGCATCTCCCATTTTGACCTCGGGACTTCCAGGTTATACTCGGCACAGATGTTCCTGTACACTATGCCGGCCACTTGGTTATGGCGTTCCATGTATGCCTTGCCTGCTAGCATCTTGCACCCTGCTGTTATGTGCTGGATTGTCTCTGGGGCATCTTTACACAGCCTGCACCTGGGGTCTTGCCTGGTGTGATAGACCCCAGCCTCTATGGATCTTGTACTCAGAGCTTGTTCTTGTGCTGCCATGATTAGTGCCTCTGTGCTGTCTTTCAGTCCAGCTTTGTCCAGCCACTGGTAGGATTTCTGGATATCAGCCACCTCCTCTATCTGCCGGTGGTACATACCGTGCAGGGGCCTGTCCTTCCATGATGGTTCCTCGTCTCCCTCCTCTTTCTTGGGTTTCTGCTGCCTGAGGTATTCACTGAGCACTCGGTCAGTTGGGGCCATCTTCCCAATGTATTCTTGGATGTTCCTTGTCTCATCCTGGACTGTGGTGCTGACACTCACCAGTCCCCGGCCCCCTTCCTTCCGCTTAGCGTACAGCCTCAGGGTGCTGGACTTGGGGTGAAACCCTCCATGCATGGTAAGGAGCTTTCTTGTCTTTATGTCAGTGGCTTCTATCTCCTCCTTTGGCCAGCCTATTACCCCAGCAGGGTACCTGATCACGGGCAGGGCGTACGTGTTGATGGCCCGGATCTTGTTCTTACCATTCAGCTGACTCCTCAGGACTTGCCTGACCCTCTGCAGGTACTTGGTGGTTGCAGCCTTTCTAGCGGCCTCTTCATGGTTCCCATTTGCCTGCGGGATCCCCAGGTACTTGTAACTGTCCTCTATGTCTGCAATGTTGCCTTCTGGTAGTTCAATCCCCTCAGTTCTGACTACCTTCCCTCTCTTTGTTACCATCCGACTACACTTCTCCAGTCCGAACGACATTCCAATGTCATTGCTGTATAGCCTGGTAGTGTGGATCAGTGAATCGATGTCTCGTTCACTCTTGGCATACAGCTTGATGTCATCCATGTACAGGAGGTGGCTGACAACTGCTCCGTTCCGTAGTCGGTATCCGTAGCCAGTCTTGTTAATGATCTCACTGAGGGGGTTCAGGCCTATGCAGAACAGCAGTGGGGACAGAGCATCTCCTTGGTAGATCCGCACTTGATGGTGACTTGTGCTATGGGCTTGGAGTTGGCCTCTAGTGTTGTACGCCACATCCCCATTGAGTTCCTGATGAAGGCTCTTAGGGTCCCATTGATCTTGTACAATTCTAGGCATTCCAGTATCCAGCTGTGGGGCATTGAGTCATAGGCCTTCTTGTAATCAATCCAGGCAGTGCACAGGTTGGTCAGTCTGGTCTTGCAGTCTCGGCTGACTGTTCTGTCTACCAAGTTTCAAACAAAACAGAGTCAAAGGTCTATCACGAATTAGGTTGTTTATTCAGTTGCTTGGTCTTGCAGTCTCGGCTGACTGTTCTGTCTACCAGTAGCTGGTGTTTTGCGCCTCTGGTATTCTTGCCAATTCCTTTCTGTGTCCCGCTCATGTATTGACCCATGTGCCTGTTCATCTTAGCCGATATGATGCCTGACAGGAGCTTCCATGTAGTACTGAGGCAGGTTATTGGTCGGTAGTTGGAGGGGACCGGTCCCTTCTTGGGGTCCTTGGGGATCAGGACCGTCCGACCTTCGGTTAGCCATTCCGGGTGTCTCTCGTTAACTAGCAGCTGGTTCATTTGTGCTGCCAGACGCTCGTGGAGTGCAGTCAGCTTCTTCAGCCAGTAGGCGTGAACCATGTCGGGCCCTGGTGCTGTCCAACTCTTCATACTGGAGACCCTTTCTTGGATATCTGCCACTGTGATGGTTACTGGACCCTGTTCAGGGAGGTCGCTGTGGTCTGCCCTCAGATCCACTAGCCACTGAGCATTGCCGTTATGGGTTGCGTCCTTCTCCCATATGCTCTTCCAGTATTGCTCCGTCTCCAGCCTTGGTGGTGCTGTTCTCTTATTGTTCCCTTGCCACTGAGAGTACACCTTTGCTGGTTCTGTGGAGAACAGCTGGTTTATTCTCCTGCCTTCTATCTCTCTGGTGTACCTCCTCAAGCGGCTGGCCAAGGCTGTGAGTCTTTGCTTGGCAGTTTCCAAGGCCTCAGGTATGGACAGCTTGCTGTATTTCTTATGCACCTTCTTTGTCGCACCTTTCTGCAACTCCGTTAGTTGGCTAACCTCCCTCCGTGCTACTTTGATCTTGCCCTCTAGCCTCCTTCTCCATGGAGGGTACTGCCCCTTGTGGCTGTTCAACTTGTAGCCAAGCATCTCACTGATCACTGCTGCCGTATTGTAGATCAGCTTGTTAGTGTCGGTAATCGTGGTTGTAGGTATTGCCCGTAGTGCTGCATTAACATCATCTAGCAGACCTTCTGAGGGTACTTCACGTAATCTTGGTAACCGGCTACGGGGGATCCAGGTTTCAAGCTTGGCCATGATCCTATTTTTCAGGTCAGTTCCTCTCGCACTCAACGATCCTTCTCCTATCGCACTTGGGGCTATGTACCCAATCTCGGGTGGGGAGAACCTACATGCCCGGGCATATTTCCTCTCCCACTGTCACAAAGGTGAGCCTGGCACCTTCACAGTTGTTAGAATGGTACATATTACATGTGTGGCCTCCTGATGGCGGGTGTCCTCTCTGTTTCACTGAACAGATCACATGAAAGGGCTGAAAGGACCTCTGCTGAAGAGGAAGCTGCAGTTCAGGTGAAGCCTGGGTGCTGTTAAACTGATATTTAATCCAGTGATGCTCAGATATTTGAGTCAAAGTTGAGATTTGTCTCAGACTTCGGGTGAAGAATTACAATTGTGACCTTTCTGCACTAATTTACCATCTTTTAAACTTACTGTGAATCGTTATGTCACACAGTTCAGCTGCTTGTTGTGGGCGTTATGGGCATCAAGCAGCCCCATGGTTGATCGGAAAGATGAATTGTTCCTGCTGTGAAATTAAAACCTAACACTGCTTTAATGAGCGTGTAACTCAGGGCTGAATATAAGTTTATTGTTTGCAGTCGCACTGTGAGGCTTTACTGCTCCTTTGTAACCAAAGAGCTGCTGCTGAACAATCCAAAGTACGCTTTTTGGGAGGAATACATCGTGAGTACACATCTCTGCTTTTATCAGATTGTTTTTTAAATATTTAATACAGAAAGATAATATATAAAAACTGTGAGTTAATTTCTCTTACTTCCCGAGTTAAATTCAATCTGTTAACAGTCCTACTTAGCTCAGACCTGAACTCAAGATTTTCTCACTCCCGTGGACGATAAGCATTCAGGAGATGTACGATGATACTACATCTGGTATTAGTTCATGGCTCTTGTTCGAAATTTGAAACTTACTATAAAAAGTCCTAGACATGTAAGCTGTTAGAATGCATCACTGTTCAATCCATATGTTGAGAGGTTTGTTTGTTTTAAAACCCCTGACCAGAAAAGGAAGAGAGTCGTTATATATATATAATATACCAGGAACTACGCCAGAGGCAAATTGCAAAGACATAGGTGAGCATGTGCTTCTTCCCAGCAGGTCCGACGGTGCCCGGACTTTCCCTCAATGTGAGTTGTAATTTTCCACCCAACAAACTTTAAATGTTAGGGGAGGATTTCAACTCTTCCCAAGCTTCATGCGGATCTTTTACAAAACACCCAAAACTTTAATCACAACTCAGAACACAACTCACACAGAGAAATCTATTGTTTAGATCTTCTGATCTTTTACTTATTGAGGTTTTGTTACAGCTGGTCAGGAAATATATGATATAAGGTGACTTCAGGGTCAAATGGTAAATGGCCTGTATTTGTATAGCGCTTTACACAACCAGTCATCCACCCATTCACACACACACTCACACACACACTCACACACTGGTGATGGCAAGCTACATTGTAGCCACAGCCACCCTGGGGCGCACTGACAGAGAAAGTATGTAACCTTGTGGGTTTGTTACAGAGTATAACAAACACCAGGAGACCCAGAAGAACTTAAACACATCTCTTCTACAAACAATTCAGTTTCACCTCCCCTCCCACCTGCTCAGTCTGAAGCTCCCGTTTTTGTTAATTTTTCCATAATCGGCTAAATAAACTTCACTCTTTAACATCTGTGACTTCGAGGAATTCAAAAATGCGTTCTGTGTACACTTTAAAGGGGTCACATGATCAGGTGAGAAAATCGGAGACCAAACAAATTGGTAGTTTGTTTGTATCGCAGGTTCCTGTTTGAGGGTTCCCATGGAAACGTGTTGTATACAGGAGACTTCAGGTTGCCTGTCGGAGACGTGTCCAGAATGGAGCACCTACACTCGGGCAGCAGGTCAGTCACCAAACATCGCCATCATCCTCGTTTCATCCTGAGTTTCTCTGATTCGCTGTGTCTGGAATGCGTTTTCTTCTTGAGCTGTGATTGGACAGCTCACGTAAGCTTCAGATGAGGATTGTTTTGGAGCACTAAGTTCACGCCGCTGTGTCGCGCTTCACAGGGTCAAAGACATTCAGAGCATCTATCTGGACTCCACCTTCTATGACCCGCGCTTCTACCAGATCCCATCGCGGGTACGTGCTGGTTTTCAGTCACTGCTGAGATATACAGTTAACACACAGGGACAGGTGCCAGTTCATTAAGTACACCTCGCTCAAACTTAATATTTAGTACATGAACCTTTTATTGTAAATAAGTCATAACCTCACTGACATTTCCTCCATTAAAAAATCTTGTTTGTTATAACTTGTGTTATAACTCAGGATGATTACGATGAATTAGAAGCAGTCAGTTTTCTATGATTTTAATCGGTATTTGAGCTGTGTGTGTGTGTGTGTGTGTGTGTGTGTTCGTTTGTTTCGTCGTATGTGGGCATGGAGGTGTGTGCTTTACCCTGCGTGCTGTAAGTCCAGCACCTCGAGCTGTGTGTGTGTGTGTGTGTGTGTGTGTGTTTGTGTGTGTGTGTGTGTGTGTGTGTGTGTTCGTTTGTTTGTTTGTTTGTTTGTTTGTTTGTAGGAGGTCTGTTTATCCGGAATCTCTGAGTTGGTTGGAAACTGGATCAGTCAGAGTCCTCATCACGTTGTGTGGCTCAACTGTAAAGCTGCGTATGGATACGAGTACCTGTTTATCAACCTGGGAGAGGAGTTCAACACACAGGTCTCTTTTGTCAGCCTTCTTTCCTTCATCACCATACCATACCATACCATACCATACCATACCATACCATACCATACCAGCGTTATTTATAAAGCACTTTCACATAAAACAAGGGTTCACAAAGTGCTGTACATATACAAATAGCATAAGCAAAGTAAAATAAAAAATAAGATAAAATAAAATAAAACATGTTAAAACACACTTATGGAAGCTACATTGAGTATTTATTAATGAAAAGTTTAGAGGCATGGTGGGTAAAACTTCAGTAGCTGGTAAACCACAGACATCAAATATGGGGAGAAACTGATGCATGGATGGAAATATTAACCTCATAATCATCACTGTAACATGAAGTCCACTGTTTTTCCTGCAGATCCACGTCAACACTCTGGCGATGTTCAAGAAGATGCCGGAGATCCTAAGCTACGTGACAACCGATCGCAGGACTCAGATACACGCCTGTCGACACCCAAAGGTCCCGTTTTAGTCTCTCACAAACAAATTCGTGGTTCCTTTACTTCAGAAGTTTAGATTTGTTTTCCTGAACCTCCAATATTTCTGAAAAACAACTTTGTGGTAGTTCTGCGTTTATGATAATGAACCATTTCCACTTCTGATACAAAACCTAAATCTTTTCTTCTTTCATTCTTTCTGTTCCTGCGACACTACGTTTTTATCTGGGATTTTTGTTTGTAGGATGAAGAGTTTTTCCAAGGAAACCGGCTGCCGTGTGGATGCACGGCTGCTGATGGGACGCCTCTTCGCATCATCAGCATCAAACCGTCCACGATGTGGTTTGGAGAAAGAACCAAGAAGACCAGCGTCATAATAAAGTAAGAACAGCTCCAGCGTCATGCACTCACTAGAAATAAAGTTTGGTTTTGTGCTCCAAATGTATTTTTGTGTGTTTATGCAGGACAGGAGGCAGTTCATACCGAGCCTGTTTCAGCTTCCACTCCTCCTACTCCGAGGTAAACGCACTTCCATTCACACAGTATTGTATTTGGACCTTCTTGTTTGAAGTCATTAAAGATGTGTGCTAAACAATCACTCCATTCTGGTTCGGAAAACAGTTCGGAGAATTAAAAACCCCAAATTATCTCAATATTCCTTGCCCATGATGAGTAGATATATACTTGTGTCGCATCAGTGCTGATGTTTGAGGCCATGTTTATTTCTGTTTGGACAATGAAACCAAAGCCCCACCCATTTGCTGTTCAAACCTTTTGTTTATGAGGGGCAGCCAATCAGAAGAAGACTGCACTAAGAACTACTATGATATCAGTAAGAATTATTTTGAACTGTGAATCATGCAAAGCTGCTGTATCAGAGTCAAAGCTGCAAGAGTAGTCCACTTTAAAAGGACTTCATGTTGTTTCTGTTGCTATGCTTCTCCTGATTTTCAGATTAAGGACTTCCTGTCATACCTCCAGCCGGTGAACATCTACCCCAGTGTCATCCCCATTGGTCGAACACTGACTGAAGTCACACAGATGTGAGTCGACTTCATTTTAATTGTACAAATGTAAAAGTCTAAACTTACTTTTACTTGATTTATAATCAAATGTAACTTGGGGTAACTTTAAAAGGTTTTACTGCTGTCTTTATTCAATAATCTAACAGTTTAACACGATGCCATTTCTGCATGTCTGATCAGGTTGAAGCTGATGTGCAGGAAGCAGTCTGATGAGGCGGCGTTTGTTTACAAACCTCTGGGAGTCCTCAAACGCAGCAGGGTGCAGCGACCTACTTGTGGTAACACAAACACACTCGTAATGACAGGTGCTCTCCATAATAGCATGCGGGCCTGCCGCCACACGCTTGTTTACAGATCACTGCTTGGCCCAGTGTTTGCCTCTCACGCGTTGCCCTTCATTCAGCTTCTTCACACAAACACAGGAGGCGACGCTTTTATAAGCGTTTGAACAACAGGCAGGAATGTGCTGTGTTGCTTCAATAAGATAGACCAGTCATTAAAACAAGGCTGATGTGTGTTTGTGTGTTCAGACTCAGAGAGCGATGATGAGCTGTTTGATGGGCTCGATGTGGCACCAGTGAGGAAGAAGTTGGGAGTACAAAAAGGTAAACCTGCAAGTTACTTGCTGTCACTTTGATTTGCACCAAAGCAGCTGAAATGGATTCACGGGGTCTGAGGAAGTTCAGCTGAGATGATCGAGTAGGCCCTTTAATTTTCCTGAGCGCTGTAGGATATGAATGTCACGACAGGAAGTGATGTCATGTTGCAGTATTTTTTTTGCCCTGAGTACTTCACTGTTACTGTTTGTTTGATTTTGTTTCTTTTGTTCTATAAGTAGAGGGAACTCCCGAAACAACAGCACTCCCTGTGTGTGTGGAGGAGTCTTTACCGCTGACCATTACCGATGCCCAGCCTGCTGCTCATAACTACGTCGACTGCACTGAGTCCAACGGCGAGGAGGAGGAGGAGGAGGAGGAGGAGCAGCAAGGTGACGAGGAAAAGGTTGGAGCCGGACAGCCGGAAGACATTTCATCTCAGCCTCCGAGGTGGGAGGACTTCTTCACCACCGAGACTCTGACCGACAGCCAGAACAGCCTCAGGAGCCAACCACAGTCCTGCTGCTCTGAGATGACGGGCTCGCAGACACCCGATCTGTTCAGCGACGAAGAAACTGCCCCCGATGGCTTCAGCCTGACACTGTCCGGCTCGCAGTCCAATCATTCCTCTCAGAACATGGACTCGTGTTTACCCGACACCCTGATCATCCAACCAGAGCTGGATGGGCAGAAGCAGAGGGAGGAGGGGGATGATGGAATCATCCAATCGGAGTCTCAGCAGTCGTCAGACTTTGATATTCCCTGCACGCCGGAGTCGAAGGTGCCGCGGCGTGATGAGCTGTCTCAGTTGTACAGGAAGCTGGCTGCAGGAGAGGACATCAGTGCTCTGGACTACAGGACCGAACATTAATGGGGAGCTCCTAAAAAAAACTGTGCAAACTAGAAAAGTAAAGCCTTAAAAAGCAGCCGGACGAGGCCAAAACAAGCAAACCACACAGCTACCTCCGTTTTAGTGACGAACCTCCAGCTCTGAGATCCCCCACTAGCACACTGGGGCAGGAGGAGAGGTTAACATGCATTCAGTACCTGCTTCCAGCATGAAGAGTTTCTCAGCCTAATTAGAGAGCATAAATAGACCAAACTTTAACGTAATTTTCTTCAGACCTGTCGTTCTCACTTAGACCCTTAAGCTGTCACATTCCTTCTGCAGGCTGAGCTGAAACGTCCTCTCCTCCAGCGTCAGTGTTGGCCTCCAAACCCCACAGACTTCAGTTTGTTAAACCACACACTCGTTCCTGCGCACTTTAAGCCTATTGGTGGATTCTCGCACCTGTGCAGGTCACAGCTGACACTCGTTCCCTCTCTGCTGGCAGTTTGTGGTTTGTTCTGCTTCAGCTGCTGACAACAGGAGGGGAATGTTTGCATTAAAGCTAAAGTTTTGTTCCAGAAACAAATAAAATATTTATTTTTAACTCAGGTGTTATGGCTGATTATTCAAATCAAAATGGTAAATGGCCTGTATTTGTATAGCGCTTTACTCGTCCCTAAAGACTCCAAAGCGCTTTACACATCCAGTCATCCACCCATTCACACACACATTCACACACCGGTGATGGCAAGCTACATTGTAGCCACAGCCACCCTGGGGCGCACTGACAGAGGCAAATGTTGTGTTTGATGGGAAAAAGCAGTAAGAATGCCAGACATTGCGAGTTTTTTTCCCCCCAATAATTCCTAAAATAAGTGGAAGAACTGCTCAACCAAAGCTGTGGTTGTGTAATGCACTGCAGCTCAAACTGAATCATTTTTACTATCCCATTGATACATCATTCAAGAATAAAATTCAAACTAACACAGGTTTATTCGTGGGTCCGTGGTAATCGGATTATAAGACCACAATCAATTATATAAGCAAGAGTTTGTACTCCTATAGAAAATGGGAGTTGAACTACTCATTCTACTATGGAAAACCCAGGTTAATTTTCCGAGGCTCGGCAATTTTGATACCGGACTCTGCCTAGCAGCTATCTGCTCAGTTTCCCGAACTTTCTCCTTACTTGCAACAGTCCACAGAAGAGTAGGAACGATTGCATATTGTTATATGCATGTCTGCCTGAGTATGAAAGAATTTCAAATGCTCAGGCCTTGTCCCATGGACCAATAATTCTAAGTTTCTAAGCGTCGCAATTTAGCAGGTAACCCAAGTGAGACTACTTCACCTCAAAAGGAACTTTTTTGTACCAGCCCAGTCCCCCTGTGGATATAAACCTCCAGGTGGTGCTTCCAAGTGAACCTTTTTTTTCTGGACCAATTCTTAACACCTTTGAACTGAATGCCTGGCCTGAAGAGGATAACCCGCCCTCGGCTCAGAGTTTGAATCCCGACTGCCTGCTATGCAGCTGATCGTGTGGAACTTTGCTCTGCGGTCTCAACCTATTATCGGGAGATATCTCCAGGTAACTCCTGCGCCTGTCATTTCCATGGTCCAAACCACATACATGGATCAGGATTAACGTCATTATATTCTCTCCTCTTCGGTGCTCCGTTTTTCCAGATTTGCAGTCAGCGTCCTTCCGCTCTGCACATGGACTTTTGCTCAGTTATCAGTGAACACGACAGGTCACAGTAAGGCTCCAGCCTGATGTAAACAAAAGCACAAGGGCCCAGGTTTTAAGCCCATACAAACAGATCTCCCCGCTAGTTATCGGATTTTGCTGGAAGTAAGTCATGTCGATTTAATACCTACAAGCAGGATTTTAAATACTGTATTTTGTAAATTTAAGTTTGTATTATTTATGTAAGTGTGTATGTATGTATTTATTTATACTAATGCAATAAAAATATTCTGTTGGACTTTCTTGAAAACTGGTATCGGCTTAACAAAGTGGTTAAATATCATTTTAGTTCATTTTAGATTTTATTAAAAAGTAGCTCCTTAGATACTGCAGAAGATGTTAAACGTATCATTCGGTTCCTCCGGTAAATTCGGCATTGAAATAATCCCAAAAGCTCCATTTTATTTTAAAAATCTTTTAAATAATTTAAAACCCTTTGCCTCTGGGATAGCCCTCCAAACTATTACATTTTTCTTTTTGTATTACATGTAAGTACGGAAGAGGATTAGGCCACCGGGGGGAAAAGTGGCCACGTCTTTATTGTTTTGGAGAATTCTGAGAAAAAACGTCAGAAATATTAATGTCCATATGTAAGCCATGCTGAAAGATCGAGACAAAAAACAACAACAAGTAAATAAAAATATCAAATTCATTTGCATTTAGAAAAATGTTATAATTTGGCTTTTTTAAATGGAGTTCTGCCAACAGACGCGCGACAGATAACAAAAGTTTTATTTTAAGTAAAAGATCTGTAGACGACTTTTGGACGGACCCTGCGCTTGTTGGTTACCTGGTAACCATGAATTTTCTTCTTCTACGTTGGAGGGCAGCGGTCACAAAGTTTCATTAGATGGCCACAAACGACATGCCATCTCACTGGTGATAATAATATTAAGAAAAGAGAGTCTGGGATGGTGGCTGAAAAATTATATTAATGTTAAATGAGAAACTGGAGCATCTTAAACTCACTCTGGTGAAATACCACTGGATAAGAGTTCGCTAGCTCGACAGGAATATAGGACTTCGTGTTGACACTGGGTGGCGGTAGTACTGGCTAAATGGTCTTAAAAGAAAGCGAAGAAGGGGAGCTCAGTTCCGTGGGCGGGACAAACAAACAAACCGGTATTGGGAATAAAAATATGTTGGTTTCGTTAAGTTAAGTACGCATGAACAATTAACAGGAAACTGAAATAAAATAGTCGCAGTGAAGATGAGTTCGTTTGCGGGTCGGATGAAGGAGTACCCCACCATCTCTCTGGACCGGTTCGACAGGGAGAACCTACATGCCCGGGCATATTTCCTCTCCCACTGTCACAAAGGTGAGCCTGGCACCTGCACAGTTGTTAGAATGGTACATATTACATGTGTGGCCTCCTGATGGCGGGTGTCCTCTCTGTTTCACTGAACAGATCACATGAAAGGGCTGAAAGGACCTCTGCTGAAGAGGAAGCTGCAGTTCAGGTGAAGCCTGGGTGCTGTTAAACTGATATTTAATCCAGTGATGCTCAGATATTTGAGTCAAAGTTGAGATTTGTCTCAGACTTCGGGTGAAGAATTACAATTGTGACCTTTCTGCACTAATTTACCATCTTTTAAACTTACTGTGAAACGTTATGTCACACAGTTCAGCTGCTTGTTGTGGGCGTTATGGGCATCAAGCAGCCCCATGGTTGATCGGAAAGATGAATTGTTCCTGCTGTGAAATTAAAACCTAACACTGCTTTAATGAGCGTGTAACTCAGGGCTGAATATAAGTTTATTGTTTGCAGTCGCACTGTGAGGCTTTACTGCTCCTTTGTAACCAAAGAGCTGCTGCTGAACAATCCAAAGTACGCTTTTTGGGAGGAATACATCGTGAGTACACATCTCTGCTTTTATCAGATTGTTTTTTAAATATTTAAACAGAAGATATATAACGTGAGTTATCTCTCCCGTTAAATCATCTGTTCAGGTTCCTCTTGAGCTCGAGAGCCCGACTCAGATTTCTCTCGTGGACGAAGCATCAGGAGAGGTACTGGGTACTCATCGGTTTGAGTCTGGCTCTGTGTCGAATTTGAAACTACTAAAAGTCAGACATGTAGCTGTAGATGCAACCTGTCATCCATATGTGTGAGTTTGTTGTTTTTAACCCTGACAGAAAGAAGAGGTCGTGGTGACGTTGCTTCCAGCAGGTCACTGTCCCGGCTCCGTCATGTGAGTTTAATTTTCCACCAACATTTGTATGTTTGGAGGATTTCACTCTTCCCAAGCTTCATGCGGATCTTTTACAAAACACCCAAAACTTTAATCACAACTCAGAACACAACTCACACAGAGAAATCTATTGTTTAGATCTTCTGATCTTTTACTTATTGAGGTTTTGTTACAGCTGGTCAGGAAATATATGATATAAGGTGACTTCAGGGTCAAATGGTAAATGGCCTGTATTTGTATAGCGCTTTACACAACCAGTCATCCACCCATTCACACACACACTCACACACTGGTGATGGCAAGCTACATTGTAGCCACAGCCACCCTGGGGCGCACTGACAGAGAAAGTATGTAACCTTGTGGGTTTGTTACAGAGTATAACAAACACCAGGAGACCCAGAAGAACTTAAACACATCTCTTCTACAAACAATTCAGTTTCACCTCCCCTCCCACCTGCTCAGTCTGAAGCTCCCGTTTTTGTTAATTTTTCCATAATCGGCTAAATAAACTTCACTCTTTAACATCTGTGACTTCGAGGAATTCAAAAATGCGTTCTGTGTACACTTTAAAGGGGTCACATGATCAGGTGAGAAAATCGGAGACCAAACAAATTGGTAGTTTGTTTGTATCGCAGGTTCCTGTTTGAGGGTTCCCATGGAAACGTGTTGTATACAGGAGACTTCAGGTTGCCTGTCGGAGACGTGTCCAGAATGGAGCACCTACACTCGGGCAGCAGGTCAGTCACCAAACATCGCCATCATCCTCGTTTCATCCTGAGTTTCTCTGATTCGCTGTGTCTGGAATGCGTTTTCTTCTTGAGCTGTGATTGGACAGCTCACGTAAGCTTCAGATGAGGATTGTTTTGGAGCACTAAGTTCACGCCGCTGTGTCGCGCTTCACAGGGTCAAAGACATTCAGAGCATCTATCTGGACTCCACCTTCTATGACCCGCGCTTCTACCAGATCCCATCGCGGGTACGTGCTGGTTTTCAGTCACTGCTGAGATATACAGTTAACACACAGGGACAGGTGCCAGTTCATTAAGTACACCTCGCTCAAACTTAATATTTAGTACATGAACCTTTTATTGTAAATAAGTCATAACCTCACTGACATTTCCTCCATTAAAAAATCTTGTTTGTTATAACTTGTGTTATAACTCAGGATGATTACGATGAATTAGAAGCAGTCAGTTTTCTATGATTTTAATCGGTATTTGAGCCTGTGTGTGTGTGTGTGTGTGTGTGTGTGTGTGTGTTCGTTTGTTTGTTTGTAGGAGGTCTGTTTATCCGGAATCTCTGAGTTGGTTGGAAACTGGATCAGTCAGAGTCCTCATCACGTTGTGTGGCTCAACTGTAAAGCTGCGTATGGATACGAGTACCTGTTTATCAACCTGGGAGAGGAGTTCAACACACAGGTCTCTTTTGTCAGCCTTCTTTCCTTCATCACCATACCATACCATACCATACCATACCATACCATACCATACCATACCATACCATACCATACCATACCATACCATACCAGCGTTATTTATAAAGCACTTTCACATAAAACAAGGGTTCACAAAGTGCTGTACATATACAAATAGCATAAGCAAAGTAAAATAAAAAATAAGATAAAATAAAATAAAACATGTTAAAACACACTTATGGAAGCTACA